GCGGAAGAGTGGTCGCAGAAGCGGAAGCTGGTGGAGTTGGTAGGAACCGCAGAAGCGGTTGTGGGACCGCATCTGCGAAGGCGCAAGTGCGGTATATTTCATCGCAGATGCGGAAAAATGGGGATTTAAGTGAGGACCGTAGGTGCGGTGGTCTTGACCGCAAAAGCGGTACTGCAGAAGCGGTACCGCAGAAGCGGGAATAGGGCCGCAGATGCGGAGATGCCTGGGTCAGAATGTTATATTTCCTCCTTCGCGATTTTTAGAGGGTTTCTTCACTTTTAAACACGAATTTTGGAGCTTTTGGCGATTTTGAAGAGAGAATTCAAGGGGAACTTATTGAGATAAGAATTTTGGACCTAAAAACTCGATTCTATGGTATTAATGCACGGATTAGAGTTGTAGTTAAAGGTAAAATTAGAGAAACTAGGGCTTAGAAACCTAGGCCTTTGATTGAGGATTTGGAAGACCATTTGTGATTAGATTTTGAAACTTTTGATATGTATGAACACGTGGGGAGATAAGGAATCTATTGATGTGAATTTTATCGAATTCCGAGACGTGGGCCCGAGGGTCGGGTTTTGGTAATTTCGGGATTTGCATTGTTTTTTGATTGTTTTCGAGTGGGCTTCGTCCCTTTAGCATAATTTAATTGTTACGTTCTGATTTTGGTAGATTCGGAGCATCCGGAGACCGATTCGAGGGGCAAAGGCATTGCGAGCTAGATTTCGGGTCGGATCGAGGTGAGTAATGACTTTAAATGTTGTCCTGAGAGTATGAAACCCCGGATTGCACATCGTGGTGCTATATTGAGGTGACGCACACGCTAGATGACGAGCGTGGGGTCGTGCCCTGTTGGGGATTGTGACTTAGTCCATCCCGAATGATTATTTTACCGCGTATTTGATTGAAAACTATTTGCTATCACTATGTTTTGGGCTGAATGCCATATTTGGGCCTTGTGCCAACTATTTGAACCCTTAGGGATTTTTATTACTGATATTTCCTTACTATTTGACTTTATTCTTGTACTCAGTCATGTTATATACCACTGTTTTCATAACTCAGCCATGCTTACTCTGTTTAAATACATAAATGATATTTTTAAATAATAATTGGGCTGAGCATCATATTTTACTGTTGCCCGAGTGGCTTATGAGATTCTGACTGAGTAAGGCCGAAGGCTTGTGTGTGTGAGGATACGCTGATTTATGATTATGAGGCTGAGGGCCTGAGATTTGTATGTCACGAGGTGGCTTGTTGATATGAGGCCGAAAGCCTATTGATGATGCCACGAGATGGCTTGATATTGCGCTTGGGCCGTAAGGGGCCCCTCCAAGAGTCTGTACACCCCCAGTGAGCGTGGGTACCCAGTGTGATGATTCTATTTATTATGTGAGGCCGAGGGCCGGATTGATTATGCCACGAGATGGCTTGTTATTGTGCTTGGGCCGTAAGGGGCCCCTCCCGGAGTCTGTACACCCCTAGTGAACGCGGGTACCCATTGTGATATGAGATATAGCCCGAGGGGCTGGTACTGTTCCATGTGTTTGCCGAGGGGCTGCTTCTGTTGGTATTGTGCCCGAGGGGGCTGATTCTATTGATATTGTGTCCGAGGGGCGGTTCCTTACGTGTTTATCTTTTATAGTTGCCTGTCATTCACTTGTTGAACTGTTAAAAAGGCATTTTGAGGAAGTTTAAATTGAACTAAAGTGACTTTACATATTTTCATTGTTTCACTGCTTTTATTGGCTTTTACTGCTTCTTTATAGCCTGTTGATGTGCCTTTACGCGATTTCTTGTTACTTTGTCTGCATTTATTATTATTACTCACTGAGTTGGAAGTACTCACTTTACTCCCTGCACCTTGTGTGCAAATTCAGGTATTTCTGAACTCGGTAGCGGGTATTGGTTGCTCAAAGGGAGAGCCATCGGAGTTTAGCAAGGTAGTTGCTCGATGTCCGCAGCACTGCTTCTCTCCCTCCTGATTTCATTAGCCTATATTTAGTGCATTTTTAGAATTTTCGTTGTATTTAGACCTTGGTAGATATTTGTGACTTGTGACACCCCGATGTCGGGCTATGTCTATTCCGCAATAATATTATCTATCTTATTTTGGGATTTATTATTATGATTTAGACTTAGTTCTATTATTTAATTGCTTAAGAATGAAGTGGGAGTGTGTCGGATGACCTTGTCTTCACGAGAGGCGCCATTACGATCGAGTCCGGGTTTAGGATCGTGACAATACTCCACAATTCTTAAAAGGTAAGATGCAAAACAAGCAAAAATAGAAAATTGATTATTCTTTTTTGTCAACTAAATTTCTTTTATTATCAATGGAGTAATGTACAGTAAAACGGCCCGCCATGTATAGGAATTTTTTTCCTTTCTGTATAACCATATCTTGAATAAAAATAAAATCTATTATGTGCATGTAATATCAATCTTACTACAGAAACTATCAAATTGAGAAAGTAAAGACTGATAATTATGATGGGTTACGACAATTGTTTGGATGGTGGAGCTGGGCGTAGCAAAGAGGCAGAATAAAAAAATAAGGTGGGGGTTAGCGAATGTTTTATTGTAGCCAATGCAATAAGTTTTTGGCTATAACTTGCAATCAAATATAGTGGGCTAGCGGTTGTCTTAAGTTTGTGCCGAACGGCCAATTATGTAAGTCTCTCTAAGTTTTTGGCTATAACTTGCAATCAAATATAATGGGCTAGCGATTGTCTTAAGTTTGTACCGTAAAAATTGGGCGCCCCTCTTTAACCTGTAGCCGCTTTGTCTTTTTGTTTGCATACGTACCCACTTTTTAAAAAATTTCAGCTTCCCTTTATAACTGAGAAACTTCAGCTCTAGAGCTGAAGTTTCCGGGTTACTAAATAAAAACTTAGTTTTATTTTATAACTAGAGCTGAAGTTTTATTTTATAACTAGGAAACTTACAGCTCTAGCTGAAGTTTTATTTTATAACTTAGAAACTTCAGCTCTAGAGCTGAAGTTTTCCAGTTACAACACAAAAACTTCAGCTCTAGAGCTGAAGTTTTTCAGTTACAACACAAAAACTTGAAGTTTTTATTTTATAACTGGAAAGAGCTGAAGTTTTTATTTTATAACTGGAAAGAGCTGAAGTTTTTGTTTTATAACTGGAAAACTTCAGCTCTAGAGCTTAAGTTTTCCAGTTATAAAATAAGAACTTCAGCTGGAAACTGCTTAAGTTTTTATTTTATAACTGGAAAACTTAAGTTGGAAACTGCTTAAGTTTTTATTTTATAACTGGAAAACTTAAGCTGGAAACTGCTTAAGTTTTTATTTATAACTGGAAAACTTAAGCTGGAAACTGCTTAAGTTTTTATTTTATAACTGGAAAACTTAAGCTGGAAACTGCTTAAGTTTCTATTTTATAACTGGAAAACTTAAGCTCTAGAGCTTAAGTTTTTATTGTATAACTAGAAAACTTAAGCTGGAAACTGCTTAAGTTTTTATTTTATAACTGGAAAACTTAAGCTAGAAAACTGCTTAAGTTTTTCGGTTATAAAGACAAAAACTTCAGCTGAAGTTTTCCAGTACAAAAGAAAAACTTCAGTCCCGTGGGCTGAAGTTATGTGAAAAAGCGGGTACGCTTGCAATTTTTTTTGCAAAGCGGGCACAAGTTAAAATGTGGCACAAAAAACGGGTATAGATGCAAATGCCCCTTGTTTCAGCATATCTTAGCTACGTCACTCCAGACTAAGCAAACTACAAATAAGAGGGTATCGAAATCTTTAGGGAAAAAATAATAATTGATACTTGACAGACCAAGGAGAGCATTGCATAGATCATGAATGTCACGATAAAGAAAACTGACGGTCATGATTGATCGGCACTCATAAGAGCCTTAGAAGCAGAACCAAAATTTTAAATTTATGAATTTTTCACGTGAATCCGTAACATAAACTCTAGACATGCTCCTGGATGGCTTTTGCCTTCTTTTAATCAACTATCTCAGCTAGGAGTGGTAACCGTACGGGTCGGGCCGGATATGATTCGGGTCGAAAACGGATAAATTATCTGATCCGACCATATTTAATACGGGTAAAAAACGAGTTAACCGGTGGATATATGGGTAACCATATTATCCATGACTTCCTGAATATGATCACTTTTGGGAGAATGCTAGTCTCCCAAACTTAAGAACCCCAATTTGAAGCTTTACAAATGTAAACGTTAAACCCATTAGTTATCCATTGGTTATCCATTTTCTAAAACGATAATATGGTTATTATCCATATTTGACCCATTTTTAAAAAGTTCATTATCCCACCCATTTTTTAGTGGATAATATGGGTGATTTATCGTTTTCTTTTAACCATTTTGCCACCACTAATCTCAACACATATCTCTTATATATCACTCCAGACAAACTACAGATAATAGGGTATTTTAAATCAATTAATTTTGAAATCCCATATTTCGGTATAAATAAATAAAAAANAGTTATAAAATAAAAACTTCAGCTCTAGAGCTGAAGTTTTTGTTTAGTAACCCGGAAACTTCAGCTCTAGAGCTGAAGTTTCTCAGTTATAAAGGGAAGCTGAAGTTTTTTAAAAAGTGGGTACGGATGCAAACAAAAAGACAAAGCGGCTACAGGTTAAAGAGGGGCGCCCAAATAGGGCGCCCCGTGCAATTTTTACCTCTTTTCCTCGGTTGATTTTTAAAAAATAGTCAGATTTACAACTGGTCTTTCAAAAATAGCCCAATTTCAAAAGTAATCGAAATTTAGCCACTTTTTATGTAAAGATAAATCTGAGCGAAAACACTGTTCAAAACCCGGAAAATACTCCAGTATATTATGCTGGACCGGTCTCTATTGCAGCAAAATGGTAGCTATTTTTCATTGACTTGGTAAATGCTGTTTTTATTGACCGGTCCGAAAACTGGCTATACCATGAAATTTTGGCCTTTTTCTCTCTCTATATATAGACGGGTCAAACCAGCTTAACAAAAAGGCACAGAAAATTAGGTACAATAATTCGCAATAATTTAGAAAAATGAATTTTGTATCACAAATAAGAATTCTTTCCTTATTTTCTTTAATCACAAAACTATAAAATTCTCCATTCTGAATAACAGGAGAAAATTACATAAAGAATTTAAATGATGAATAAAAAAAATCGATTATAAGCTAAAGAAATAACTCCACGAGTGTACTAATGGACCAAGTACGTAATCGCAAGTGCAACAAGTAGAAGAACATAAGCAATCCCTTGATCAATCGCTGTGCCTGCAATAAAATTACCAAATCAATTTCTTCATATTTAAAGTGTATTTATGGAAAATCTTAGAGAAGAAGATTTAACGAGTTTAAGTTCTATATACAATCGGCTAAAAAAAATATTTATATAATTAGTTTATTTGTAAATTTGTTATCACATAGTATTAAACTACTAAAATATTGTAAAAAACAAAAAAAAAAATTAAACACTGTCAGTATATATAACTTATATATTTTTTTTTTGGAAATTCCCAGGAAAACCCGCAGAATCACACAGGAGATGCAAACCGCACTAGATAAGCCCGATGCGACGAGTTCTGACTGAGGAGGCTGCTGCTGAGGGGAATCGATCCCCGAATCTCCTCTCACCCGACCAACTCAGCCAACACCGTGGGCTATAACTTATATCTTTAACTTGTATAGGGTAAAAGATTTTTCTATCAATGCAACTTAACTTGTTATGTTAATTGATAGCGTTAAAATTATTATACACCGGGAATATATATAAGTTAAACTCAAAAGAAAATGATCAAAGTAGGGAAAATGATATGTTACCGTCATTAGAAGGAAGTGGGGCTGAAGAAGGAGCCATGCCTTGTCCAAAACTAAACTCAACCAAAGCCAACAATAAAAAACCAATAATAGATGAGAGGCTCATCAATCTAACTGAATTCATCTTCAAATTTATTAGAAACAGATTTATATTTTTCCCAGAAAGAAAAAGGTGGAAAATTCAAGAAAAAAAAAATTAGAAAATTTATATTCAGAGAAGAGAAAGGGGATTTTTGCAATTTACAGAGAGAAGATGGTTGTGAGAAAGAAAGGGTATGTACAGAGTTTATATACGAGTTTAATTATTCAGAGAAGAGAAAGGGTATGTGAATTTTCGAGGAAATAAAGAAGAAAAGTTGTAGTTGTTGGGGGTGAAAGCTACGACTAGGATTAAATGAAGAAGAAAAATAAAATACAAAATTGATTTTATTGACTTGGTAGGCTGTTGATTTTTGACTCAAAGGCGGAATACGATTTTAAATTAAAGTATTATTCCAGAGTCTGCGAGACACGCTAAATATATCTATATCTATCTATATTTATACTTCTATACTATATTAAAAACACAAAGCCCTTTAGTAAAATGTTGTTCGCCTTTTTTACCCTTTAAAAATTAATCTCACAATAGACAAAATAATCATTTTATTATTTCTTAATACTTAATTACTTTCCTAATATTTAGAAAAAGACATTTAATTATTTTCCTAATTTTAGGACTTCAAAATCTAACTAAATTTTGTGTATGAAATCTTCCTTACTTAAACTATGGTAGTAATAAATTTGTCAAGGAAAAATAATAATGCACGATAATCAAATTATTTTGTAAAATCTTCTCCTACTTTCAATTCTTTTTAGATCTCGGAGTCTGTTTTTTCCATATCTTATTTTAGCATAGAAATTGTCGATTTTTCTTTTTCTCTGTCTAATTTTTTCTTTTTCTCATTTCAAAATTTCCCTCTTAAAAGACAGAAAAAATACTTTTTAAAGGCAAAAGGCAATGAAACAAGTAGGTTCTTCCATCCAAGTTTTCTGGCCGAGAGCAAGCAACATTATTCTCTTATAGCTTTCAAATGTATGAATTTTAATTCAAAGCTAAGGGAATGACATGATTTTCAAGATAAAAGCATGAATTCTTTTTGGGAATCGTTAGGTATTTTTATCTTTAAAAATAGATTTCACATTTAACAAAATTATCATTTAATTATTTTCTGATATTTAAGAATTTGAAATTAACTAAAAATTTATCGATTCCTAATGTTTAGATTTGAAATTAAAAGTTTCGAATATTAATTTTTTTGTTTGAATTATGTAAGAACTTCTAATGTTTAACATCATAAATATTCTATTATTATAAAATAGAAAACACGTAATATCCTCACTTGAATTCAAGTTTTAGTTTAGGTTGCGATTTATTAAAGGAATTTTTACCTCCTATAGCAAAGGTTAACACCTTATTTATTTTAAATAAATACCATTTAAAAAAATTATATTCTATAGATACATTTTAAGGTTTATAGCAAAATATTTAATTTTTGGTTTCCTCCTAGCCCTAAGCCACTAAATACGCTAATCAATTATATTTTTTCTTTCTCTGTCTACTTAGATACATCCCATTCTCCCAAAGTTTCGTGGACTTCTTCCTCTTAACCAAAATAACTCCAATAAAGGCAATACTGATATTGATTATTGGAACAACATTTTAGTACGAAACAAAAATCCATCTGTCACGACCTGGATTTCCCACCCTCGGGAGTCGTGATGGCGCCTACTCGTAGAAGCTAGGCAAGTCAAATTTAGTTCTTTTCCTTTAATAAAACCTTATAAGCCAAGCTTGCAAATATGCACAAACAAAGCAATTGAAGACGAAGAAGCAAAAGCCTAAATTTTGGCGTCATCGCGTGCTAGTTTAATTAAGGAGAAATCACAGCCTTGGAGTTTATCAAAATCGGAATTTTACGAAAACAATCAAAATCGGAAAGGAAGAAGAAGAAGAAACATACTGGAGTTGGCGTATTATTCATGTCCACGAATATCATAATCGGAATCTCTCATTTCTGATTTTTGTGATTTCTCGTTTTCTTCTTCTTTCTCTCATCGCTGCTTATGGAATCATGGTCGGAATTCGATGGATCGTCGAAAAATTGTCGACTAAATTAGGTCTGAAGTTTGGGGTTGAGCAATTTGAAGATTTTGTTACCTTTTTTTAAGAGCATTTCAATGTATCTCGCTGTATTTCTATGTATTTCATAGTATTCACTATCTTTTTTTTCATTGTAATTCAATGTATCTCGTTGTATTCCATGTATTTCATCGTATTCGGTGTCTTTTTTTCTCATTGTATTTCAATGTATCCCTCTGTATTCTATCTATTTCATTGTATTTTGCAGTTGAGAATCTTTTTTATAACTGAAAAATACAAAATTTGTGTGTTATAATTGAGTTTGTTGAGTTATATTAAGAGTCTATTATGTTAATTGATTCACTTTCCCTTTTTAAAATAGTGTAATCCCCTATTTCACGCCGTGAATACAGTCGAATATAATAATCTGTCCAGCTGTAATCCCATGTTTCACTCCATGAATACAGTCGAATACACTCGAATACAACAACTGATTAGCTGGACTTCCTTGATTCACGCCTATTTTTGCTACTGTATTCATGAATACAATAGCTTAAATACATCAAATACATCTTATAACCACAGAAAAGATATCTATATTCCGTAATATAGCAAATAGTATCTATAGATGGCTAATTACTACTAAAAGATAGTGCTTTGTGAAAATTTTTCTTTATTAAAAGAGTCAACTTGAACTCAAGTGAGTCAATCACTTGAATAACAAATCAAGTGAAAAACTATTAGTACTTGATTTAAATTATTGCTAGACAATTTTAAATTTACAATTTTAACTATGATGAACTTATCTCTTGAAATTTTATTTGTTTGTGATCACGCCCAACTATGCCTTATAAAAAGGACTCTGCGGACGTTGCAAATATAACCCGAGTATTACGCCCAGGGTCGAATTCACAGAGAGTTAACTATCAACCACTATCTTCAGACCCACTAATTCTTCAGAACCAGCTTCCCAAATATTCAAATCTCAGTTGAATGTTCTTTAACAACTACGCTTGCAAGTAACTAAATGGCTGTAAACTAAACTAATAAGGTTGTAAACAATTATGATAAAAAGCTAAGGCAATGATTTCCCCTATTGATGGAATCCCTTCTGTTTATGCTCATACAAATTTACCAACACATCTCTATCAATCATGAACGCTAATCTTACCGTAAATCTCTCCCGAGTAATCACAGTAATTTACTATTGCACTCTCCCGAGATACACTAGCTTACTTTATTTAGCACGATTCACTTTAGATTACACCCAAGGCTTCGGTATCCCTAATCCCGCCTTTAAACCCGCAATTATAGATTCCTCTAATAATCTAGGAGTGGTGTTGTTCAACAATACCCTAAATATGCACTCTTTTCCAAGTTATGCACACTAAATAGGCACAACTAATTGAGGATCCTGTCAATTAACTACAACAAACACGAAGTTGAACAAATAGAGATTAAACTAGCAATTTGTATTCACATAAACAAGAAGTTCATCACCCAATAGGTTCCATCAAAGCCTTAGACAAGGAATTTAGCTACTCATGGCTATGGGAAAATAAACTAAGATAGAATTCATCATAAAAATCAAAAGTAAAGAAGAAAGATGTTTGGAGTATTCTCTCACAATGGTTTTCCTTGCTAAGAAACCCTCAAAATCAATACCTACTCTCTTGGGCGAAGTCTAATGTTTTAAATAGGGTTTAGGTCTAAAAATCCCGTATTTGACACTTTGACCCCTGAACTTTTGTGCGCCTGCCGCGGTTCTGCCGCGGTCGCGGTAGAACCGCGGCCAATCACCCTCTCTGAATCTCTAAAGTTCTGAAGCTGCCGTCCACCGCGGTTCTGCCGCGGTCGCGATAGAACCGCGGCCAAACCATTTTTCTGAATCCTAAGGGCTGGCAGGGCGTAGCTTCATTGGGAATTTACACATTTGGCCTCTTTTCTCCAATTTTGACTCCAAAACTGCTCCTTAGCCTTCCTTATACATATATCACCTGCAAATCATGAAAAGCACTAATAAGAGCATTTTGTTATCACTTTTAGCATTAAAACTACACAAGAAGGTGATTATTTAAGGTGTGATTATAGTCAAATTCACCTATTATCAGTTTGCATAAATACAAGCTAAAGGCTTTACATCGAAATGACTTTGTCTTTCTAATTTCTAATTATGGAGAAACAAATAAACTCTACTTGGATTAGAAAAATACATTAATTAAAAGAACTATTCTTGATCATACGAAATTTATCCTATGTAAAGTACTAAATTTATTATTTTCTTATATTTATTACTTGACCTTTTTCAATAGAATAAAAAACTATGATTTTCTAAAAAAGTACTTTGTATGTATTTATAATTTTATCCAATATAGAGTGCACTTACGGAGAGTAAAAAAAGTGAATGGTATTTGGTTAAAAGGATTAGTGCTTTTAAAATATGAACAAAAGATGATTGATGAAGACTTCTATTATCACATTTCTTCTTTTATAGAATTAGCTAAATAAGATCAACAATTATCATCTTCAGGAACTCACACTTTCCTTTAATTAACCTTTATTTTATAATTAAAAAGCAAAATTTTAATATCATATTTATGTGCATTTTTAAAATTATATACTTATTGAGATAGGATACACGCGCAACGCGCGTACCCAAATACTAGTATATATATATATAGATATATATATATAGATATGGGCGGATTTATAGGTTTGTTAACGTGGCACGTGAACACATGGTCGTTTCGCCAAACTAGGTTTTTTATATATGTATTTTTAAAATTGGTCTAATATTATTTGTTGGCACAAAAGTTGAGTGGAGCACTTGGTTGAATACTAAGTTATTTACCCAAAGAAATAGAGATCAATCCTCACCTAATACTTCTTTTTCCTCCTTTTTTAGTGGTGCACCTATGTTCTAAAATTTTTAGATCCGCCTTTGTGTGTATATATATAGGAGAAAGAGAACACAAAAGAAGGAAAGTATAAATATATTAAAAAGTATATATAAAACTATATCTTGTGTTGATTTTTAATTTTTATTATTCTTGAAAATAACATTGTATCATAATAATACGAAAATATAATAAAAATACATAACACACTTTATATTATGTTGAATTTTCAATTTCAGTATCTTATAAAGTAACCTGATCTTTAATTTTAGTTATTTTGTTTTTAAAATTGAATTGCTTAAATGTGATAGTATCATTTGTGGTAAG